CACTTTCTTCTGATACTTTGAGAAAGGGAACATTCTGTGGTGCTAGTGAATGAAACTGTATGCATTGCACACTAGAGACATTAAAGGGATAGTTCACCCATTCAGTTAATCACCTTTATGTCATTCCAAACCTTTGTGACTTTCTGTCTGATGTCTTCTGTCGAACACAAAAGAAGATATTTTGAAGAACTGTTTTGTCCATACTCTGCAAGTCAGTGACTACCATTATATGAAATCCAAAAACTTTGACTATCATTATATGACAGAATAAAAAGTCATACGTGTTTTGGAAAGACATGATGGTGAGTAAATGATGAATATTTTTCATTTTTTATAATACTTGGATCAATGTTCTTAAGCACAAAAACACAGGCCCTTATGGACGTCATATGGATGTCATAAATACGTATTTTAAAGGAATCAGGGTGAAAATATTGAGGAATACATCTGTGTAAAGAATTGAGAATGAATATAAAGAAACTACTCTTTAGTCTGAGCCATGTCTCCTTCCCTCCATCACTCTATTCTTGAGTTGTATGCTTGAGCTGGAGGAAGAGCTTGTGACACACTGTGAGACATTTTGTGTAGTTTGCGTGTGATCCTGACTTATGGTAAAATGTTAAAGAAAACAGAAATTACTGTACTGCACATTCATTGAACTGCACCATATTTTACTGATGTAGAGTAGTTGATATTTTAAGCAGTGTGACATGATAAACTTCATCTAAGAGTGTATAAAACTCAAGAGAGTGTATAAAAAGAGTGGTAAACAGTTCAGTTACCATTTACCACATTCAGACCACAGAAAATCTGTCACTTTAAAAAATAGCCTAGTAAAAGCCAACTGTTGCATCACGATGCAAATATTGAGCGATTCTAGTTGTGATTCCAAATGATGTTCCTATTATGTGAAACAGTAAATATTTTATGTGCTTTGAATTTTTTATCTGCTTGACCACACATAATCTTTCCAAGCTGTTTGCTGCTAATATGCTCTTGATCTTGTCTAGTGTACATATAGTAGCAGTGAATTAAACTTCAATAAAACTGTTTCTTTGGTTGCATAAAGATGCATGGTGATTAAACAGAATTTATGATTATGCAGTTGAATAGTTGCAACTGTATATGGTGCTTCTTTAACCTTGATGCCTGAAGGATGTTTATCAGATGCAGAGCCATGCGAGAAGCTGAGAACTAAACAGAATGTACAAGCAGTTTACATAAATTACTTTTTGTTTTTAGCAAAATATTTGTTGATTTCCACTCTGCCATTTGAATTTTCAAAACATTTTTTTGAATAAGTAATTACTTTGCAACCATTAAAAAGTACTCTATATACTCTAGTATAAATGTGTGTAGTATGAATGTAATCTGACCATACTACATTCGTCATGTTGTCATTGTCATGTGACCTACCAGCATCAGTTGCATTGCTTCACTGACATAAATAACACTTCTCCTCAGAATCTCACTGGAAGTAGTAGGTCATCCGGGGACCTTTTTAGCTACTTTTTCTGTTGTATCAGCACTGTGAAACATGCACTGTTTTTTGCTGTATAGTAGGGAAGTATGCATATTCAGATGCAACCCTCGATTAGCCGGTTCAGGAGTTTAATTAGGGTTGGAGCTAAACCCTGCAAGACAGTGGCTCTTCAGGAGCAGAATTGGACATCCCTGATTTATAAGGTTTTATTTATTTATTTATTTATATTTTTGTTTCTCTACTCAGAGAGGTCAATGGACAAAAAAAATCACTATGTCAACATGTTTTTTTTTTTTTTTTTTTTTTTTC